AACCGTTGCTCAAAGTTTGCAGCTCCCAAAACTGTTATTGCGGAGATACCTTTCTTGGCTTTGGTTATAATGTGGTCTTCGTGTTTTCGTTACTGAGTCAGTGAAAATCAAATGAAATGTCCCTCCCTGTTTCATCTAAAAACCTTGTAAACAATTAGTTCCGAAACAATCTAGAAATATGCGCAAGCAGTAAATGCAAGTTTCAGTTGGTAGATGGGCCAAGGCCAACAGTTGCCACTAGAAATGCTGTATATCGTTAATGAAAGTAGTCGGGGGCAATAATTTGGCTACTATACACACGTAGAATTATTACATAAGGTAAATTACCAGCTCACACGAAAACCGGCTACCGGCCATATCAACTACCACGACACAACCGCTGCACAAATGAAAGCCATTCAAAATGGGGGGGGGGCACAGCTCACAGGGCTGCACCAAACACTAAACAGTAGCTCAGGCAGCGAAACCGTAGACCACTGCCCAAATGTGGAAATTGCATTAGTAAAGCGCTGTCGGAAGCAAAAATAATTTTTAAGCTAAACAAAACATTCTTCCAAGCCTTATCTTCCATTTTGGCCGGAAGTCCAAGTGAAGAGAACAAGTGGTATAAATTGTAAGAACATACGTAAGAAGATTGCAAATTACCTTGATGGCCTGAAATCTCCTGAGCACAGGTGGAACAAGCGGTTGCTGATCTAACAAATTAGGCATATTTGTTTAGAATTAAGTTTGCCAAAACCGCGGTTTCACTTGAGAGGCTAGCAATATGGCTTCTCGTACCACCAGGTCGTAACTGGCACGTCCATTGTGTGATAGCGGGAATACCCACTGAAGCGCAGTTTTGAATTATTTCCAAATCGACGTGATTCTTCTTCTTTCTGTTTCTGCCCTGTGTGCCCCACTGAAGCATAGGCTGGGCCTCAATCAACTCACCCAAGGGGGTTTTATCCTTTGCTATTGCATGCAGCTCACTCTTTTTTTTAACTGCACTCTCTAGCTCACGTCTCCGTGTGTTTATTCAAATGTTAGAAGAGCCTTCCTTCATCTTTGTTGTCTGGTTTTGACTGTGTTTTTGTTTTTTTAACTTTTTTTTTTAACCATTGATTTTACAGGATGAGATAGCTAAATCCAAGCCGAAGCCTACCCTTAGTGGCCTCTTACGGCATGCCTGGTAGGGTGCAGTGTTACTGTTCTTTAGTGTTTGTGAGGGTCCCGGTTACATACAAGCGATGGTCATTATTGCATACTGTTTATTGTTTGGGAACCGAGACAGAGAACGACGAGAAATGGATCCAGACAGCCTTCGACACGGCCAAAACAATTCAGATATTTTCAATACCACAAGCTGTGCAGAGGCATGATCGCCCATGTCTATAAACTGCAGCACTTCAAATAATACATGGGGAAGGGAGGGAGGGGACATAGTAGCTTCCTCTTCTTCTCTTCCTCCATTTACTTCATATCAATGTTGGGGAAAATATGGATTTTTTCACGTGGACTTGGACTTTAGTAATTCCTCCTGCTCTTTGGATAGTGAGATCGGACGCCCGTGTGTATTTTTGTGTTCATTTTAGACCTTTCACAGAAGTTATGTTAGATGTTTTTCATTTTAGACCCATTGCAGATGATTTGTATTAGATGTTTGTACATTTTAGACCTTTAACATATGAGTTGTATTAGATGTTTGTACATTTTAGACCTTTCACATATGAGTTGTATTAGATGTTTGTACATTTTAGACCTTTCACAGATGAGGTTTGTTAGATGTTTGTACATTTTTGACCTTTCACAGATGAGTTGTGTTAGATGTTTGTACATTTTAGACATTTCACAGATGAGTTGTGTTAGATGTTTGTACATTTTTGACCTTTCACAGATGAGTTGTGTTAGATGTTCGTACATTTTAGACATTTCACAGATGAGTTGTGTTAGATGTTTGTACATTTTTGACCTTTCACAGATGAGTTGTGTTAGATGTTCGTACATTTTAGACCTTTCACAGATGAGTTGTGTTAGATGTTCGTACATTTTAGACCTTTCACAGATGAGTTGTGTTAGATGTTTGTACATTTTAGACCTTTCACAGATGAGTTGTATTAGATGTTTGTACATTTTAGACCTTTCACAGATGAGTTCTGTTAGTTGTTTGTACATTTTAGACTTATTGCAGATGAGTTGTGTTAGATGTCTGTATATTTTAGAACTTTCAAGGATTAGATACCGTTACTTCTGATACCTCATTACAATTCTCTCTGTCCAGGATGCTTCAAAGGAAACATTACAGTTTCACTTAATTACATTATGTTTACATTTCATCATATTTGTAAAATAATAAGTAAAAGTACTATAATACTAAAGCCCAAAAATGACAATGGCAAAGATTTGATAAAAGTTGTATAAAAATATGTTTATTTCTGCACAATAAGCAATTGGCAGGACTAATATGTACAAAATTAATAGCAGAAACATCATTTCAGTAAATTAGGTGTTTGGAAACATCCAGATAAGTATATGATGTGTATGAAAACATTATTTAAGTATATTAAATGTATAGAAACATCAATATAAATAAATTCAGTGTTTGAAAACATTATTTCAGAATATTAAATGTATAGGAACATCAATATAAGTATATCTGGTGTATGAAAACATTATTTAGGTATATTAAATGTATAAAAACATTAGTAAAAGTATAATAAGTGTCAGAAACACAATTTAAGTTATAACAAGTGTATGGAATGTTACCTGTGTTACTTGTTGGAGTAATCCTTAGTACAGTAAGTTGGTCAATATTTACAGAGCTACCTAATAATATGGACTTCCCTAATGAAGCTACAATTCTGTCTCACACTTTAATCAGATGCAAGATAAAACAAAGAGAGTGGGTGTTATTTCAAAACAATTAGGTTTAAACATTCACAGAGAAAAATCACAGATGATTAGAATAACTTAAGCAAAAGAACTCAATCTTTCTTGGCATGCCTCAATTCAAGGGAGGGAATCATTCACACATTTAGGAAGACAAGGCCTAAGCTTCATTAGGATTGAAGAAACACAAGGCAGAAGACTTCAACTGAAATCAGCATTTAATGCTGTCACCCCGGGAAGCCGTATAATTTAATGTGATTGTCTCTGTTTGTGCTTGTGCCCCCTCCAACTGTACAAGTTGTATCACACTGTACCCCATCCAACAGTACAAGTTATATCACACTGTACCCTCTCCAATAGTACAAGTTGTATCACACTGTACCCCCTCCAACAGTACAAGTTATATCACACTGTACCCTCTCCAATAGTACAAGATGTATCACACTGTACCCTCTCCAATAGTACAAGTTATATCACACTGTACCCCCTCCAACAGTACAAGATGTATCACACTGTACCCTCTCCAAGAGTACAAGTTGTATGACACTGTACCCCCTCCAACAGTACAAGTTATATCACACTGTACCCTCTCCAATAGTACAAGATGTATCACACTGTACCCTCTCCAATAGTACAAGTTATATCACACTGTACCCCCTCCAATAGTAAAAGTTATATCACACTGTACCCTCTCCAACAGTACAAGATGTATCACACTGTACCCTCTCCAATAGTACAAGTTGTTTCACACTGTACCCTCTCCAATAGTACAAGTTGTATCACACTGTACCCCATCCAACAGTACAAGTTATATCACACTGTACCCCCTCGAACTGTACAAGTTATATCACACTGTACCCCCTCCAACAGTACAAGTTATATCACACTGTACCCTCTCCAACAGTACAAGTTATATCACACTGTACCCCCTCCAACAGTACAAGTTATATCACACTGTACCCCCTCGAACTGTACAAGTTATATCACACTGTACCCCCTCGAACTGTACAAGTTATATCACACTGTACCCCCTCCAACAGTACAAGTTATATCACACTGTACCCCCTCGAACAGTACAAGTTATATCACACTGTACCCCCTCCAACAGTACAAGTTATATCACACTGTACCCCCTCCAACAGTACAAGTTATATCACACTGTACCCACTCCAACAGTACAAGTTATATCACACTGTACCCTCTCCAATAGTACAAGTTATATCACACTGTACCCCCTCCAACAGTACAAGTTATATCACACTGTACCCTCTCCAATAGTACAAGTTGTATCACACTGTACCCCTCCAACAGTACAAGTTATATCACACTGTACCCTCTCCAATAGTACAAGTTATATCACACTGTACCCTCTCCAATAGTACAAGATGTATCACACTGTACCCTCTCGAATAGTACAAGTTATATCACAATGTACCCCCTCCAACAGTACAAGATGTATCACACTGTACCCTCTCCAAGAGTACAAGTTGTATGACACTGTACCCCCTCCAACAGTACAAGTTATATCACACTGTACCCTCTCCAATAGTACAAGTTATATCACACTGTACCCTCTCCAATAGTACAAGATGTATCACACTGTACCCTCTCCAATAGTACAAGTTATATCACACTGTACCCCCTCCAACAGTACAAGATGTATCACACTGTACCCTCTCCAACAGTACAAGTTATATCACACTGTACCCTCTCCAACAGTACAAGTTATATCACACTGTACCCCCTCCAACAGTACAAGTTGTATCACACTGTACCCTCTCCAACAGTACAAGTATGACACTGTACCCCCCTCCAACAGTACAAGTTTTATCCCACTGTACCCCGTCCAACACTTCTGAATCACCAAAACTTCAATAAAATACATTATCAGAAATAACTGTACAGCAATGGTAGCAGTATCACATGTTTGTGGAGACACAATCTCAAAGAATGTTGATTGTTTAAAATTATGGATCTTTTCCCTTGTTTCACAAAAACAATTTTTTTTTAACTTATTGAAAAACAAAAAACAAAACATAACAGCATTTCTGAACCAAAGAAAGCCTGGATAAATAAACGTAATCCAGTAACACATAGATAACAGTATAACATGGGTCAAAAGCAAATGTTAATTAAGTAACATCACTTTCCAGGCGGCTGTATTCAGGGATGAGTCGGAGTTCCAGTCTGACAGTTTGCTTCTGTTTATTCTGTCTGGAGTATAAACTCAGTACCAAAATGGCCACCAGTACTGATGAGGTCACTCCGAAGAAAGAAAACAAAATTGCCGGAGTTATCTGCAAGAAATCAAGTTACAATTCAACAAACAACCTGAGAAAACAAGCAGTAACAAGTAAAGAACTCATGCCATTGTCACACTGCCAGAACCAATTTGTTTTTTAACTAACTGATATCTAAAGTATGTCATTATCAGCATCACAGGCCGCCTTTGCTTCCTTGGACCATTTCTGGCACCAATTTTAGGCTGGGTCAGCCTGGCAGTCTAAATCTTTGACCCCAAAACCCACCTCATTCTGGATCCAAACCCAAAAGCTTCAAGCCTGCAGACAGTTATCTGGCCACCGAGCTGCCATGACTTCCTATCACACAAGTATTCAGTTGTAAAATCTTGTCTTATTTGGTTCCTCTTCCTCCTCTGCCTCATCTACTTCAGTGATCTGTAGTGATGGGTGTAATCTGTAGTGATGGACTTAATCTGTAGTGATGGGTGTAATCTGTAGTGATGGACTTAATCTGTAGTGATGGGTGTAATCTGTAGTGATGGGTGTAATCTGTAGTGATGGGTGTAATCTGTAGTGATGGACTTAATCTGTAGTGATGGGTGTAATCTGTAGTGATGGGTGTAATCTGTAGTGATGGGTGTAATCTGTAGTGATGGGTGTAATCTGTAGTGATGGACTTAATCTGTAGTGATGGACTTAATCTGTAGTGATGGACTTAATCTGTAGTGATGGACTTAATCTGTAGTGATGGGTGTAATCTGTAGTGATGGACTTAATCTGTAGTGATGGGTGTAATCTGTAGTGATGGACTTAATCTGTAGTGATGGGTGTAATCTGTAGTGATGGGTGTAATCTGTAGTGATGGGTGTAATCTGTAGTGATGGACTTAATCTGTAGTGATGGGTGTAATCTGTAGTGATGGACTTAATCTGTAGTGATGGGTGTAATCTGTAGTGATGGGTGTAATCTGTAGTGATGGGTGTAATCTGTAGTGATGGGTGTAATCTGTAGTGATGGGTGTAATCTGTAGTGATGGGTGTAATCTGTAGTGATGGACTTAATCTGTAGTGATGGGTGTAATCTGTAGTGATGGACTTAATCTGTAGTGATGGACTTAATCTGTAGTGATGGACTTAATCTGTAGTGATGGGTGTAATCTGTAGTGATGGACTTAATCTGTAGTGATAGACTTAATCTGTAGTGATAGACTTAATCTGTAGTGATAGACTTAATCTGTAGTGATGGGTGTAATCTGTAGTGATAGACTTAATCTGTAGTGATAGACTTAATCTGTAGTGATGGGTGTAATCTGTAGTGATAGACTTAATCTGTAGTGATAGACTTAATCTGTAGTGATAGACTTAATCTGTAGTGATGGACTTAATCTGTAGTGATAGACTTAATCTGTAGTGATGGACTTAATCTGTAGTGATGGGTGTAATCTGTAGTGATAGACTTAATCTGTAGTGATGGGTGTAATCTGTAGTGATGGACTTAATCTGTAGTGATGGACTTAATCTGTAGTGATAGACTTAATCTGTAGTGATGGACTTAATCTGTAGTGATGGGTGTAATCTGTAGTGATGGACTTAATCTGTAGTGATGGACTTAATCTGTAGTGATAGACTTAATCTGTAGTGATGGACTTAATCTGTAGTGATGGGTGTAATCTGTAGTGATAGACTTAATCTGTAGTGATGGACTTAATCTGTAGTGATAGACTTAATCTGTAGTGATGGACTTAATCTGTAGTGATAGACTTAATCTGTAGTGATGGGTGTAATCTGTAGTGATGGGTGTAATCTGTAGTGATGGGTGTAATCTGTAGTGATGGGTGTAATCTGTAGTGATGGGTGTAATCTGTAGTGATGGGTGTAATCTGTAGTGATAGGTGTAATCTGTAGTGATGGGTGTAATCTGTAGTGATGGGTGTAATCTGTAGTGATAGACTTAATCTGTAGTGATGGGTGTAATCTGTAGTGATGGGTGTAATCTGTAGTGATGGACTTAATCTGTAGTGATGGACTTAATCTGTAGTGATAGACTTAATCTGTAGTGATGGACTTAATCTGTAGTGATGGACTTAATCTGTAGTGATAGACTTAATCAGTAGTAATAGACTTAATCTGTAGTGATAGACTTAATCTGTAGTAATAGACTTAATCTGTAGTGATAGACTTAATCTGTAGTGATAGACTTAATCTGTAGTGATGGACTTAATCTGTAGTGATGGACTTAATGTATAGTGATGGACTTAATCTGTAGTGATGGACTTAATCTGTAGTGATGGACTTAATATGTAGTGATGGACTTAATCTGTAGTGATGGACTTAATCTGTAGTGATGGACTTAATCTGTAGTGATGGACTTAATCTGTAGTGATGGACTTAATCTGTAGTGATGGACTTAATCTGTAGTGATGGACTTAATCTGTAATCTGTAGTGATGGACTGTAATGATGTGTAGTGATGGACTTAATCTGTAGTGATGGACTTAATCTGTAGTGATGGACTTAATCTGTAGTGATGGACTTAATCTGTAGTGATGGACTTAATCTGTAGTGATGGACTTAATCTGTAGTGATAGACTTAATCTGTAGTGATGGGTGTAATCTGTAGTGATGGGTGTAATCTGTAGTGATGGACTTAATCTGTAGTGATGGACTTAATCTGTAGTGATGGACTTAATCTGTAGTGATGGACTTAATCTGTAGTGATGGACTTAATCTGTAGTGATGGACTTAATATGTAGTGATGGACTTAATCTGTAGTGATGGACTTAATCTGTAGTGATGGACTTAATCTGTAGTGATGGACTTAATCTGTAGTGATGGACTTAATCTGTAGTGATGGACTTAATCTGTAGTGATGGACTTAATCTGTAGTGATGGACTTAATCTGTAGTGATGGACTTAATCTGTAGTGATGGACTTAATCTGTAGTGATGGACTTAATCTGTAGTGATGGACTTAATCTGTAGTGATATCTTAGTGATGGACTTAATCTGTAGTGATGGACTTAATCTGTAGTGATGGACTTAATGTGTAGTGATGGACTTAAATCTGTAGTGATGGACTTAATCTGTAGTGATGGACTTAATCTGTAGTGATGGACTTAATCTGTAGTGATGGACTTAATCTGTAGTGATGGACTTAATCTGTAGTGATAGACTTAATCTGTAGTGATGGACTTAATCTGTAGTGATAGACTTAATCTGTAGTGATGGACTTAATCTGTAGTGATGGAATCTGTAGTGAATTAATCTGTAGTGATGGACTTAATCTGTAGTGATGGACTTAATCTGTAGTGATGGACTTAATCTGTAGTGATGGACTTAATCTGTAGTGATGGGTGTAATCTGTAGTGATGGACTAATCTGTAGTGATGGACTTAATCTGTAGTGATGGGTGTAATCTGTAGTGATGGACTTAATCTGTAGTGATGGAATCTGTAGTGATGGGACTTAATCTGTAGTGATAGACTTAATCTGTAGTGATGGACTTAATCTGTAGTGATGGACTTAATCTGTAGTGATAGACTTAATCTGTAGTGATAGACTTAATCTGTAGTGATAGACTTAATCTGTAGTGATGGACTTAATCTGTAGTGATGGACTTAATCTGTAGTGATGGACTTAATCTGTAGTGATGGACTTAATCTGTAGTGATGGACTTAATCTGTAGTGATGGACTTAATCTGTAGTGATGGACTTAATCTGTAGTGATGGACTTAATCTGTAGTGATGGACTTAATCTGTAGTGATGGACTTAATCTGTAGTGATGGACTTAATCTGTAGTGATGGACTTAATCTGTAGTGATGGACTTAATCTGTAGTGATGGACTTAATCTGTAGTGATGGACTTAATCTGTAGTGATGGGTGTAATCTGTAATCTGGAGTGATGGACTTAATCTGTAGTGATGGACTTAATCTGTAGTGATGGACTTAATCTGTAGTGATGGACTTAATCTGTAGTGATGGACTTAATCTGTAGTGATAGACTTAATCTGTAGTGATGGGTGTAATCTGTAGTGATGGGTGTAATCTGTAGTGATGGACTTAATCTGTAGTGATGGACTTAATCTGTAGTGATGGGACTAATCTGTAGTGATGGACTTAATCTGTAGTGATGGACTTAATCTGTAGTGATAGACTTAATCTGTAGTGATGGACTTAATCTGTAGTGATGGACTTAATCTGTAGTGATAGACTTAATCTGTAGTGATAGACTTAATCTGTAGTGATAGACTTAATCTGTAGTGATGGACTTAATCTGTAGTGATGGACTTAATCTGTAGTGATGGACTTAATCTGTAGTGATGGACTTAATCTGTAGTGATGGACTTAATCTGTAGTGATGGACTTAATCTGTAGTGATGGACTTAATCTGTAGTGATGGACTTAATCTGTAGTGATGGACTTAATCTGTAGTGATGGACTTAATCTGTAGTGATGGACTTAATCTGTAGTGATGGACTTAATCTGTAGTGATAGACTTAATCTGTAGTGATGGGTGTAATCTGTAGTGATGGGTGTAATCTGTAGTGATAGACTTAATCTGTAGTGATGGACTTAATCTGTAGTGATGGACTTAATCTGTAGTGATGGACTTAATCTGTAGTGATGGACTTAATCTGTAGTGATGGACTTAATATGTAGTGATGGACTTAATCTGTAGTGATGGACTTAATCTGTAGTGATGGGTGTAATCTGTAGTGATAGACTTAATCTGTAGTGATGGACTTAATCTGTAGTGATGGACTTAATCTGTAGTGATGGACTTAATCTGTAGTGATGGACTTAATCTGTAGTGATGGACATAATCTGTAGTGATGGACTTAATCTGTAGTGATAGACTTAATATGTAGTGATGGACTTAATCTGTAGTGATGGACTTAATCTGTAGTGATGGACTTAATCTGTAGTGATGGACTTAATCTGTAGTGATGGACTTAATCTGTAGTGATGGACTTAATGTATAGTGATGGACTTAATCTGTAGTGATGGACTTAATCTGTAGTGATAGACTTAATATGTAGTGATAGACTTAATCTGTAGTGATGGACTTAATCTGTAGTGATGGACTTAATGTATAGTGATGGACTTAATCTGTAGTGATGGACTTAATCTGTAGTGATGGACTTAATATGTAGTGATGGACTTAATCTGTAGTGATGGACTTAATCTGTAGTGATGGACTTAATCTGTAGTGATGGACTTAATCTGTAGTGATGGACTTAATCTGTAGTGATGGACTTAATCTGTAGTGATGGACTTAATCTGTAGTGATGGACTTAATCTGTAGTGATGGACTTAATCTGTAGTGATGGACTTAATCTGTAGTGATGGACTTAATCTGTAGTGATGGACTTAATGTATAGTGATGGACTTAATCTGTAGTGATGGACTTAATGTATAGTGATGGACTTAATCTGTAGTGATGGACTTAATCTGTAGTGATAGACTTAATCTGTAGTGATGGGTGTAATCTGTAGTGATGGGTGTAATCTGTAGTGATGGACTTAATGTATAGTGATGGACTTAATCTGTAGTGATGGACTTAATCTGTAGTGATGGACTTAATATGTAGTGATGGACTTAATCTGTAGTGATGGACTTAATCTGTAGTGATGGACTTAATCTGTAGTGATGGACTTAATCTGTAGTGATAGACTTAATCTGTAGTGATAGACTTAATCTATAGTGATGGACTTAATCTGTAGTGATGGACTTAATCTGTAGTGATAGACTTAATGTATAGTGATGGATTTAATCTGTAGTGATGGACTTAATGTATAGTGATGGACTTAATCTGTAGTGATGGACTTAATGTATAGTGATGGACTTAATCTGTAGTGATGGACTTAATGTATAGTGATGGACTTAATCTGTAGTGATGGACTTAATGTATAGTGATAGACTTAATCTGTAGTGATAGACTTAATGTATAGTGATGGACTTAATCTGTAGTGATGGACTTAATGTATAGTGATAGACTTAATCTATAGTGATTGACTTAATCTGTAGTGATGGACTTAATCTGTAGTGATGGACTTAATGTATAGTGATGGACTTAATATGTAGCGATGGACTTAATCTGTAGTGATAGACTTAATGTATAGTGATGGACTTAATCTGTAGTGATGGACTTAATGTATAGTGATGGACTTAATCTGTAGTGATGGACTTAATCTGTAGTGATAGACTTAATCTGTAGTGATGGACTTAATCTGTAGTGATGGACTTAATCTGTAGTGATGGACTTAATGTATAGTGATGGACTTAATCTGTAGTGATGGACTTAATGTATAGTGATGGACTTAATCTGTAGTGATGGACTTAATGTATAGTGATTGACTTAATGTATAGCGATAGACTTAATCTGTAGTGATAGACTTAATCTGTAGTGATAGACTTAATCTGTAGTGATGGACTTAATCTGTAGTGATAGACTTAATCTGTAGTGATAGACTTAATGTATAGTGATTGACTTATTCTGTAGTGATAGACTTAATGTATAGTGGTGTACTTAATGTATAGTGATGCCACTTGCAGTGAGAACAACTGTGTTAACGTGTTACGTAGAACGTGTGTAGTTATATGCGTGTCAGACAGGGACATTAGGCAGAAAAGTCTCGGTTGTTTAGAAGAATGCAAAGAATATCATGGAGGGATAGAAAACAAACGAAGCAGTCTTCATTGAGACAGATAAAAGTGGTCAACCTATTAGTACGATCGGACATAGACAGTCAATATATTTTTTACATATTGTGAGAAGGAATGGAATCAAGAACTTGGTAACATCTGGCAAAGAGATAAATACCTGGATGGCCTGCCAAGTTGGATGGGATGAGACAAAACATTGACCTGATCTGTGATTATGGTGATCATGACAGACTACACTTACCAGCACAGCACAAGATGATGATGATGATGAAACAACTAAATGTTTGAACCAAAGTCTTAAGAAACAAATAAACCAACACAAATCCTACACCACAATAAAGAATGAAAACAATCAAGCTTCCCAGTCACACACGGCTTTTGGAGTCAAATCTATCAAATATTGCTTCAGAATCAGAGAGTTAAGAAAGGTCAAAGTTACTATTTATGCTGAAACATGTCATTAACAATAACAGAAAGAAGCATTTACCATGAACTCTCTTGAGATTGCAGAAGAGATGTCAACACTCCATAAGTCATTCATGAAGCCACCAAAGTAATGCTCATCAAGCCCCAATCCTCCAAATATGTAGATCAGATTAGCTCCACCTGCCCATGCCATCATCTCCGTCCTGGCACCAGGTGTATTGGTTTCAGCTGCCTTTCCAAGTTGGCCATAGCTTCCAGCCACGTCTGCAGACTCGCTGCCATCGATGTACTCCCAGCTCTGATCATCAAGATCAAATCTCCACATGTCAGACAAAAGCCTGCTAGAGTTCAGCTCGGAGTCTGAGCGATGAATGCCTAGTCCACCAAACAACCACAGGCTGCCACTAACATCTGTCCAGGATGCTGCACCTACACGAGCTCCTGGCACATTTGAATATGTTGTGTCTTCATCCATGTCATGACCTGAATTCTGATTTGCTGATGTGACATCAATAACAAACTGCCAGGTATTATTCTTTGGGTGATACCTCCACAGGTCAGAGGTCAGGCTCGCAGTGTGATGTAAAGCATATGAAAATTCAGGATCTGTACTTCCGCCAAACATATACAAAGTATTGCCACTAACCCACGTTGTTGCACGATTCCTTCCACCTGGATATGACATACATGTTACCTTCTTTGAATCCTTCCCATCATGCAACTGTTCCCATGTCGGACTGGACAAATTCAGCCTCCACATATCAGAGAAAACATCTCCTCTGTCATTCCTGCCTCCAAACAAAAACATGGATGACCCATAGCACCACACAGAAGAATGACTACGAGCAGCTGGTCCATGTGAAGCCAGCGTTACCCAACCCCCACTGCTGGTGTTGTAGCTCCACAAATCTCCCAGTGAGCTACCACTTTCACCAAAGCCTCCAAACACAAACAGTTCATCAGACTGGCCACACATGGCAGCATGTTGCCGCCCGCTGGGTACTCCTGTTGTCTGCATGCGATCTGATCTCGAAGACCAAGTGCCGGGATTGTGCAGTTTAAACTGTCTGGTGCCAATGTGGAAACTCCAAACATCGTTCAGCAAATGAGATTGTCCTGTTGAAACAAATAGCAAATTTAAACACCATCTCAGCTAATATCAGTGTCTTGCGCCATTGCTAGTGCACTCTAGAAGGGTTTTCATGACAGTTGTAGAATAAGGGTGGCTTTTCTGAGCAGTTAGGTTGCCGGGAACAAGCTAGGAGACTTCAAGTTTAGTAAACAAACATTCCTGTGGCTTGCTATGGATTATTAGCCATACCTGATGATATGTGAAGCCAGAATTCTAATATCTGGATTATCTAATTGCACTTCTAGATATTAAATTATAACTGCTAACTGGAATATCTTCTTCTTCTTGTTCTTCACGTTCACCAGCTGTAAACTCTAGCAAAAAGTGTTTGTCCACTTCTGGACTGCAGTCCTGTTCCAGAACCTGAGTGTTGCGTGTGTATCTGTTTGACAGATTTAACTTATTTGTAAACAGACTGTTGGTTCTTTGCCTCTCAGGCAGATGCACTCTAACTTCGAAGGAACTTCCCAATTGGTCGACTCTTACGACATGCTTTTGGGTGGGCAGTGGGTCTATTCTTGTTTTCCCTATAAAAGGACCCCAGAACGCACATGGGGAGTTCTGGAATATGATGACAATGTACAAATCTTCTTCTTCCTCTGCAATCAGCCTTAAAAGTTTGTTTGTACATCATTTGATGGTTTACAAGCTATACTATGATATCTGCATCTTTCACCCCAACACATCAAACTGCCAGTTACTGCCTGCATTTACTGTTTAGGCGAAGTTGATGGATGGGGGGGGGGGGGGGGGGGGTCAAAGCGTCTGAGGATTTAGAGCCACATGGCTTCTACTGTCACAATGGACTGTGCAAGTTATGATGTCATTTCCCCCCCCCCCCCCCCCCCCCCCCGATATATTAACAAAAAATGTATGACCCTGCCAAAGATCTGATCCTGGGGCTCCCATGTGAGAGGCCAGCATTCTCAACCATTTAGCTAGCCACTCTTCATCCATTTTTAGTCAATCCCTAATTGGTCACCTTTTACTACATGCTTATTAGGGGCAGTTGATCTATTTCCCTCCACCTTCCAAATGGGAGTCCCAGAATCCACACAATGGAATGACAGAATCTAGACCTCATGGAGGAAGCATGTCCAACCTGGGCCTAATACAAACCAGCCTAAATATGCTGTCTTGTATGATCTGATTACTACCACATTATGCAGATGCAGAATCCATGCCCTATTGGGGGGGGGGGGGGGGGGAATAGACCCAGTTCTCCCCCAAATAAGTATGTCCTAAAAGGTGAACAATTGGAGGGGGGGAGATAGACCAAGTTCTCCCCCAAATAAGCATGTCCTAAAAGGTGAACAATTGGGGGGGGGGGGGGGGGGGGGAGTTATAAAAAAAATGAACAACTAGGGGGTTTTCTTCACATTCAGAGGTCAGAGTGCATCCGCATGAAAGACACGGAACTAATAGTCTGCATATATAAATAAGTAAGACCTGTACAACAGATGTGCGCGAAAACCTTAAGTTCTGAAACAAGACCAAAGTCCACAAGTGGAAGAACAACCAGAACTTTCCACCAGCGTTAACAGTTGATGAACATGAATGCTAAGAAGAAGAAGATGCACATGAGAGTTTCTACTGCTAGTCCAGGATACCTCAGTGATGCCTGACACAGGAGAGTGAAAGCAACACAATCTGCAAGTCCAGGATACCTCAGTGATTCCTGAAATGGGAGAGGAGAAGCAACACAATCTGCTAGTCCAGGATACCTCAGTGATTCCTGAAATGGGAGAGGAGAAGCAACACAATCTGCAAGTCCAGGATACCTCAGTGATCCTGAAATGGGAGAGGAGAAGCAACACAATCTGCTAGTCCAGGATACCTCAGTGATTCCTGAAATGGGAGAGGAGAAGCAACACAATCTGCTAGTCCAGGATACCTCAGTGATTCCTGAAATGGGAGAGGAGAAGCAACACAATCTGCTAGTCCAGGATACCTCAGTGATTCCTGAAATGGGAGAGAAGAAGCAACACAATCTGCAAAATTTACATTTCGCTGTGAGGTTGGGAGGAAAATCTTTACACTGTGGGCACGAAAGAAATGAGGCATGGGAAATAATCAGGGGTACAAATGCTTCCTGGCAAGCATGTAGAAGCTACATTCTACAAAGGATCTGCTACATCCGTAAGGCTAGAAGTCTATTCCTTAATTATGTTTTATCCTGCGCAACTGTTTTAATATCATGGGTGGAAATCAGTCCAGCATTTCTGGTCTGTCTTATAAATATTGCTTTAGGGTTTCGTTTAAACATTCTTGCTTTCTTAATCCATTTGTTTCCAATTTAAGTGCCTGTTTGGCAATTCTCTGCTGGCTTCCCCTCAGAATGTAAAAAATATATCACCAAACTGTTAAATTATATTGAATACTTTGTGTACAAAGTGAACCGTCCAAGACATTATGAACTGAATAAGTTAAATTTGATATCTAAAAACTAATGGCAGTTGAAGAGCAGCTCTGTTAGTTTAGACATAAAAACACTATATAGTTACCAGAGCCAACATCTGAGAAGCCATTCCCTCCAAACATCCACACAGTTCCATTAAAACTCCAAACGCTGGATCCACTCCGCCCACCAGGATAGTCTTGGGTAGATAACTGGTCAGTTATTTTGTCACCTGCCAGCCAAGTCCACTCTGACAACAAACAAATTTACTACTTAGAAAGTGGATAAAAAGTACAATAAAATATTCTTCTTCAAATGCATACCAAGCCTTTCAGATTCATTTCTGTAGATAAATCATCTCTGTGATTGGTCTTCTCTTTCCAGTTGGTGACTCCAGGTGTTTGCAGATCTGTCTGTATATTATCTCTCCACATCTTCTTGGTCTGCCTCATGGTCTACTCCGCTTCAGCTCTTTCATGTATGCAGCTTTCAAATGTTTTCAGCCACCCTCTCTATATGCTCAAACCTTCACAGTCTGATTGCCATTATGATGGCAGTAACTAGTGGTGTTTGTTTCACTTTTTTCCCCCCATTTTTTAATGAAACATACCAAATTAAAATTACCACATGATAGTATTATATCAATTTCTTCAGTTTTACTTTTCACCACTTACATAAACAGTTCATAAAAAAACAGACTGTATGTTATTTATTACTGTTATCATGTTCTCATTCACTTCTCCATTCCTAAAGATAAATTTATTTCTTATATGCACCTACATCCCAACTAAAAGCCATAAAAAATGGAACATATTGAGTTTGTAGAAAACAATACACAACATAATAATGGTAAATATAAATTTAGCGTAATGATAGGAATGAATAGTTAATTTAGCGTATTTGTAGTGATAATTAGCATATTCATAGTAATAAATATCACTAAAACAGTGCAATGTACCAGTGACGGTGTGAAAAAATGACACCTTAGATGCCAGTTATAACTCTAAGTGTTGAACATGGTATTAAAATAAAAACTAATAGTATACATGGTACTTTTCTTTGTGTTCACCCCATCTCTGGGGCTCCAAGATTTCATAGGGAGTTCCCAGGAAAGTCCAATAGACTATCCTCCAAATAACGGTCGGTAAAGATGGCGGCTGAAAAATATCCTTTCGAGCCCCAGTCACGTGTCAATTGCGCACTTCCGGCGACTTAATTTGCGGTTCTCCTGCGACTACCACCACGAGTCCCCCACGCGGAATGGATTGGGGCTAAACTAGATGGCTAGGACCCACGAGCAGCAGCTTCCGCATCTCCTGAAGCTTCGCTCGTGATGGACTCGTGGCGGTAGTCACCGGAAAACCGCAGATTATGTCACGTGACTGTGGCTCGAAGGGATATTTTGCGGCCGCCATCTTTACCGACTGTTTTTCAGGGGATAGCCGGCCAATATTATAAATTATGAGGGGGGGGGGGGGAGGCGTTAGTGTAAGTGGTGTTCATTTCACACCCTAACATCCCTATAGTATTGGACATTCGCAGGAACTATCCATGAAATCTCAGAGTCTCCGAGATGTGGTGAACAAAAAGAAAGGGACCGTAAATACTAATAAACTACTAACTACAGATGAAAAATACAAAATATTGAATTTAATTATAAATTAAAAAAACATTATATTTACTACTTATTTTTCCTTTAACCATTTACCTTGGCAGTGGCAGGGGGTTAACACTTGTAAGAGGCCCATCATTACGGTAAAAGGCAATAAAACCAGTCTATTCCTTTCAAAATCCATGTTTAATGATCAAAGTGAAACTTGTAAACTAGTAGTTTAAACTACTACTGACAATTCATCTCTACTATCTAAGTATTACTGTGGGTATACTGGTTCTGAAAGTATCAGTGAAACTGCATCTGTGAAACTATGGATGTGATGTCGTATCTGCATCAGACAGGATCATTCAACTCTGGTTTTGATATGGCAAATACTCTTGTCTACAAACTCTGGTTCTTGTACCCCGTCTACCTATTGTCTATACCCGTCGTCCACACCTGGTCTATACCCTGGTCCGAGGGGAATCCCCCGGCCTGTAGCTCTCCCGTAAGTGGAGGTCTGGACAGTCCCGCCTGCCATATCCGGTCGTGGGAAAATGGCGAAGGTGGAGAAGAAGTTAGTTAAGTCCAAAAGCGGCTACAAGATGGTCACTGTTGATGAGAGAATAACCAGTCCCTTTACAATCGACGAGCCACCGTGGACACCTGATTACGCTGTGCGTTGTGTTTGTTTTGCGTTAATGTGTATGTAGATAACGGTGATTGTGTCCCATTATAATTATATTAAAGTTGTTGGCTCTCCTTGCAGCTTTGGACGGCTTAGTGGGAGTTCTCTCCCTTGGCCGCATTGCAAACAAGGCGCGGAAAAGTCACGAATCAAACAAGACAGCGAGGTCGACATCAGGGCTGCCAATGTTTGGTTGTGTCCCCCAGATCTGGGGTTTTTTTTTTTTTTTTTTTTTTGAAGCTGCGGGGAAATCTGTTTTTTTTTTTTTTTTTGGTGTTTTGCCGATCTGTATGCTTTAATGACCGATAAATTTGCGTGGTTAGCGGTAGGATTAGGGGTTGGGTTAGGATTAGAGGTAGCGTTAAGGTTAGGGGTAGCGTTAGGGTTAGGTTTAGCGTTAGATGTGACAATTTTGACGATGTAGTTCCCTATAATCGCGCACAGTCACATACACACGCAAACAGTCGACGGACGGTGGATGCTACTGACACAGACAATTGGGCACCAGCTGTGCGCTATTGCCGTCATATTTGGCACACTTCCAGTGGCGCCACTCCCACAAGCATCAGATTGTCGCCCAATATTTGGAAGTTCTACGTCACCATTGTCACATCTAACCCTAACCCTATCCCTAACCCCAACCCAAACCCTACGCAACCCTACACGCAACCGTATGATGATAGACACCCTACGCAGCCCTACACGCAACCGTATGATGATAGGTAACCCTAGACGCAGCCGTATGATGACTACACAACCGTATGATGACTACGCAACCCTACACGCAACCGTACGCAACCCTACACGCACCCGTATTATGAGGTAAGTATGTCATTTGATTTGTGACTTTTCCGCTCGTTCTCAATGCGGCCAAGGGAGAGAACTCCCACTAAGCCATCCAGCTACCGTCTGAAGCTGCAAGGAGAGCCAAGTTGTTTTTTGTAAACAATATCAATAACATATTATTAATATTAACATCTGCATCATCTAGCTACTTTAGTCAAATTTTCAAAATGCCCTCTACACCAATAAAACCAGCACAGTTAGATAGCTGTAAACAATCTCTTTCCAACGGTACCTCATTTAGGCTTGTATGTCATTTCTGAGCTGAGATATGTAGGTTTTTGTGGAGATGAGATGTAAAAAACAGCTGTTAAAACTTGCATCCCAGAAACAAGAAATTTTCTCTGCGCAACCAAACTGCGCACTTTCGTTTTGATGGCAGACAATTTTTTTCAGACACAGCCACATAATAGCGATTGCCTGAAAAATGTCACTAAATCTAAAAAGCCACTGATAAGAAAGAAATTTTATATACAAATGTAAAATTGGACGGGGAATTCAATTATAACTAGCATTACCATGTCAAGTAATGTTAAAGCCTAAAGCGAACCTTGAATACTTACCACTATTTTCAATCAAACTGATGTAACAGAAAAACATAGCACGTCTGGCTGTCGTAGACATGCGCTGTTAATCGGGTTCATTCCCGCCGTTTTCAGCTATTTATAGCTGGTCAAAATCACACCAATCGCAAAATTTCATAAGAGATTAGGACCCATCCCGAAACCAGCCGACATTTCCCAAACAAGTTTTGAACAGTTACCGGGTAACGGAAATTCCCAAAAAGACCGCAAATTGCCGAACACCGTAGTCGCTACATCATCATAAACCATTTTTGCCGTTAAGCGCCCTTGGGAGGAATAAATTGCGATCCAGTGCACGTTGGCTGCCACTGGCTATTGTTATGCCTTGAAGGCGTAGAGTGTCTTTAATGTTGTCAATCCATATTTTGCAGCCGTCCTCTTGCTCTTGTAGCTGATCTTCTGAGATGTAGTGCTTGTGATAGTATTTGATCTTGCTGCATTCTAACGAGATGGCCAAACCACTTGATCTGCTGTTTCTTGATGAACCTAGTACAAGATGTTGTTTCCCCAATTTGCCTGATGTTTCATTACTCACTCGATCTCAGATGGTTAGGTTGGCTGCTTTTCTCAGGCACCTCATCTCGCAGATGGTGATTTTGTGTAAACAATAACAAAAACAAATTACGGTTCTTTTTTGTTTAGCGACCACATCACGTAGGGACATCCCATATTATAGGGGGTTAGGGTTAGTGTTAAAAAAATTGTGACTACTACTTACCCTCCTATAATAATAAATTAGGCTATCCTCCGAATTACAGTCCCAAATTATCAAGCCCGAAAATATACCCTAACAGGGCCTCAGTCATTTGTCATTTGCGGACTTCCGGCGACTTAAATTGTGCACTTCCGCCACCGCAGAGAGTATCTCCCACGCTGCTACAAGCGGCTTGGATTGGGGCTAAACTAGATGGCTGGGACTCAGGAGCAGCAGCTACCACATCTCCTGCAGTTTCCTTCATTTTATTTGCTCGTGAGTTCCAGCCATCTAGTTTAGCCCCAATCCATGCCGTGTCGATGCGGCATAGGAGATACTAAAGGCAGTGGTGGTATAGTCCCCGGAAGTCCGCAATTGACACGTGACTGAGGCCCTGTTAGGGTATATTTTTGGCCTCAATAATGTGGGACCGTTATTCGGAGGATAGCCATATATTAATAATATATAATATGGGATTTCCCAGAACTCTTCCGAATACCGGTCCCAAATTATTCAATATTAAACTATGCTTCGCGTTATTATATATTTGTATTACCAGTAGTACAGTTGAAAGTATTCCGACCGTCAGGCGGGTGACCGGTGTCTGATTCCCCACCAGGTGATTTTTTTATATTTTTTATTTTGCCCTTTAGGACGGTTGGCATGTTGTGTTGTGGTTTACAGTTAGGCAGCCAAATCTGCGCCTTTCACCCCAACACATCAGATTTCAGCAAAGTCCTAACTAGTCGCCTTTTACAACATGTTTTTAGGTAGCAATAGGTCTATTCTGTTTTTTCCTCAAACATGTGGCTCTGGAACCAACAAGGGGATTCATGGGTAATGTGAACAATGGATCGAAAACTATTCTCCCCACGACGCTGTAAATGTAATGAAGCGAAAACTACTCCTCCCTATGATGCTTCTACAGTGGATACAAATCTATTCCTCCCCACGACGCTGCAATGGATCAAAAACTGGCTCTCCTCCGAACTTCTGCCCCCGCATTATGGTGGCCTGAAATATCCTTACGGGGCTCAGGCATATGTAAAATGCGGACTTTCAGCCACGGAAAAAATCGCAGCAAAACTAGGATTACTTGACAATTTCAAGAGACGCAACATTGCAGACGATAAAAGCGACCGTTGACAATTTCAAGCATTTCTGCAGACGATAATAGCCACCATTGACACTTTCGAGACATTACAGATGATGAAAGTAATATGGCGGGTAAACCACGCGCTCCCACGTAGATTAGCAATACTGTTCTTCCGATTGAGGATTTAGCAGCGGTAGATGTCAGACTTGTCGCCATGTGCAAAACGCGATTAAACTCACCGCCAAGCGTAGCGGCGGGGGTGATACGGTTGGTGGTGAGGCATAGTCACAGAAACAGGTCCACAAGTAACATATCGATGAGACCCTGATAGAGCATTTGTTTTGTTATACGGAGCTGGCATATTTTTAATAGAACTAAGCCCCGTAAGGATATTTTATGGCCGCCATAATGCCGGGGTAGGAGTTCGGAGGAGAGCCGAATTATTTTTCCCTTTAGGACGGTTGGCACATTGTGTTGTGGTTTACAGCTAGTCAGCGAAATCTGCGCCTTTCACCCTAACACATCAGATTTCAGCAAAGTCCTAACTAGTCGCCTTTTACAACATGTTTTTAGGTAGCAATAGGTCTATTCTGTTTGTTTTTTCTCAAACAAGTGGCTCTGGAACCAACAAGGGGATTCATGGGTTATGTGAACAATGGATCGAAAACTATTCTGCCTCATGTTGCTGTAAGTGTAATAGAGCGAAAACTACTACTCCCCTCGACGCTTCTACAGTGGATCAAAATCTATTCCTCCCCAGACGCTGCAATGGATCGAAAACTATTCCTCCCCACAACACTTAGCTTACCATCTAAACATTGCTATCCAAGAACGGCAGAAGTGGAAACTAATGATGATGGCCTAAATGTTTTTTACTACATAATCTCTTGAGGCTCTCAAAGGGATGTTTTTCGCAGTGAATAATTTAGGACCGATGTTCGGAAGAGTGCCGGATTTCTCTAAATCTCGCATGATAAGGTTGTTAAACAGAAAATTACTGTGTTTTATTTCAGCATACACATTATATATATATATATATATATATATATATATATATATATAATATATATATATATATATATATATATATATATATCTAACATCGGAATAATAAAATTAATTACGTCAAATAAAATATTAAAAAAGTGTGTCCCAAAATTAATTTAAAATAAAAATTAGGGATTTAAGCACGTCAGCAGAGATATTGTGTGCGTGTCAAATGATTTTGTTTAGCCTTTTACGAGATAAGTATACCTTTTACTCTTTGGGAATGAACTGGAGCGATCCACTGCCCAACAGCAAAATAGCTAAAACGACAGCTGGGCCGATTCCAATTCCTTTTGAGAAAAAAAATTAAAAGGTCGACCACTTTCAGACTGCTGCTAGCTAGCCGAGGCTGCCAACAGTCTCCGCCTATATTTGTGGTCTGGGTTATTTGCGTCACTTTCGTGACTAAATTGGTTATTTGCGCCGTCTCTGGGCTTAATGTTTCTTTCTGAGTGGGACCGCTCGTCCTCCACTCTGTTGTTAGCTGTGCATGTATTTCCTTTTCAACTTGGTGTCTCCTCGTGGTTTTGTCATTCTCTGATTTGGCCAGGTGTATTTCGTAGGAGAAGCTGGCCGGTCTGTCAGCCTGGTAATATAAGGCTTGAGATTCGCTAGCTGTTCCTCTTACCAGCTAATCAGATTGCTTCTAGCATTTCTTATGTCAAGAAAGGGTATAAAACCGAACGAAAAGTATATTAGCAAGCTTCACAATATAAACAGCGCATACAAATGAAACAATACTACACAGATACACAAAATCACTTAGCTGGTATCTCGAAGCAGCCGGGTCGGTTGTTCCTCAGCAGAATCAGAATCTCACTCACACTTCTAGTATTTCTTGCACATGTGTGCTGTTCAATAGCACTTTTCATGAAAGTTTGTTGCTTTCTGAAATGTTACATCAATCTTTGTGTGTGAGGGTGTTACCTGTGCCCAACAATGATGAAAAGGACTGGTGCATCAATGAAATCAGCATGTAGCAGGAAGAGGAGGGAAACCATCTGCCAGACATGGTTGCAGGGCCTACTTGGGCCTTTCTTCCCAAAACACGAGTGTGAGGACTTATTCAGACTTCATCAGAAAATGTACCCACATTATTCAATTTGATTGTGGTTGTCTCAAGTAATTAAAACATTTGTATCATCTGTTGCCGGTGCACATAGAGAAAACTTATGGTTATTTAGGTCATTTACACCTCCACACGGGTGGTTACACGACATTCTAGGTGCCTTGGCTATAAAAGCACATAGGGCTGAAGAATTGGCTAGAGCAAGGCAGGCTTTCAGGCATGTCATGAAAAGAGCAATGTTTTGTCGAGGACCAGCTGATGATTCAACAAATACCCGAAGAAGTCTGATCTTGTCGACCAAAAGTCACAAAGTGAAGTCTGTTTTTGACATAAATATATTTAAACTTTTGAAAACTGTTATTTTACGTGTTCTTATTAATTAAACGCCATCATGTTTTATCACAGTTACACATATTGGTTGTAATTGTGATAGTTAATAGTCCAGTTATGTTACTAAAGCATACAGGCACTTGCAGATTTGCCTGATGCACTTCTTACTGTGTCATTTCAGTGTAGTAATTGTCAGAACGGGGAGTGCCACATCAAGTTTGATTTTTTGAAACGAAAGGTAAGAAATGCTACAAGGACATTTTTACATTATGTTTTTAGTTTATTTTATTATATATTTCATTGTTAATTAATATAAGAATAAGAAGTGCCTAATGTCGTGACATGTAATGTGACTCTCTTTTTAGCATTCGCTGGCTTAAACACTGGGGTATAGATGTGGTTGTTTGTCCACTTCTGGTCTTGTCACAGAACTTGAGTTTTATGAGCACATCCAGTTTACAGATCTGGTTTACAACTCCAACTTTGAAAGAAATATTTGAATTAGTAGTACCATTAATAGCGTGATTTTTTGGGGGGGGGGGGGTTCCAAAAAAGGGTTCCAGAACTCACATAGGGGTCAAGATGTCAAATCTTGAAATGTTCATGTTTAATATCATGACCTTTAGCCTGTTCAGTTTCATGATAAAGTGGAAGTAAAGAACCATTTTCACACCAGTGTTGCATCAGGCATATGATGCTTGACTCATATTTTTGTAGGCAGATAGGCACTTGATGGGGTCAGCATCTCGTCGGCCGCCTTTATTTCCAGGATATCACCTGGTACCCATTTCAGGCATGTTAGCCTTGGGTGTAAAGGTCATTTTAAAAAAGAAGAAAAAACAGCCTCAATGAGGATTTGACGTCTTAACTTTCAGGCTTGTAGGCGAGTGTTTTGCTGCTCTGCTACAGCGACTCTCTACTCCTATGATGCTTGTCTCTTATTCTACGACTGACACGTTTTCCTCGAATAAATACTAGAGCTTTTTATGAATAATGTCTGCCTGCCAGCATCACTGCCGGAGATGTGGCCAGTGTTTCTGTGATGACTGTTGTAACAGTCTTATTGAGCTTCCCCGCATGTGCTTCATCGACCCAGTCCGACACTGCAAGGGCTGTGCTATCATTTCCAAACGGGAGAGTGAGTTCTTCGACAAACACCTGAGAATTTTATTGGACGGTTAGTCTTGTTACTGTTGCCGTCACATTTGTGTGTTTCTGTAGATGAAACATATATTTAGCCACTGTAACAATCATACAGACAATCATTCAGCCATTGTCACAGTCACTTAGTCACTGTAACGATCATTAGCTATTGCAACAGTTATTCATTTATTGCAACAATCATTCAGCTATAGTCAAAATCATTTAGGCACTGTAACTATCATTAGCTATTGCAATGGTTATTCATTCATTGCAACAATCACTTAGTCACTAACGATCATTAGCTATTAAAGGTCCATTTTCCACCCCTTAAGGCTTATTGGGAATGAATGATTGAGACAATGGCCAAATGATTGTTGCAATTGATGAATAACTTGCAGCCACTAAGGATCGATACAGCGGCTACATTAATGTGATAATGGCCAAATGATTGTTGCAGTGGATTTAAAAAAAACTTGCAATAGCTAATTATCATTACACAGGAGCTTACAACGATTGACTGCTAAGAAAAAGAAGATATAATTCTTCCTCGTGTAAGAAAATATAATTAATTTCTGGAGTAATATTCTGAGTAATAAAAATTTTTTAAACTTTTTGTATGTTTGATTCACAGGTGGAAGGTTCCTGTTGCGATCTGACTGTGATATTGACGAGGGTGACTTAGTTGTGACTTCAGACAGAGCTTGTGTCTGTACGCTGTCAGTAGATCACAGGTACCTTTGTTGTTATTGTTGTTGTTTATTCTTATTTTATTATTGTTCGGGTTCTTCATCATTGTGCCATAACTACGTGTTGTTGGGTCAGCTGTTTCCACCTTTGGCGGTCAGTTGCGATGGACTTCATGGTTGGAGGCCTGACCAGTCAGTCAGGTTCTGTAACCAGGTCTTTCTTGGTCTGCCTCTTCTCCTATTTCCCTCTACTGAGCCCTGCAGTAATGTTTTTGAGAGGCCTTTAGATCTTCTTACATGTCTATACTATTGCATTTTTCACCTTTTTACTGTAGTTAAAAGAGGTTTATAGTGCCAGTGTGCTTAATTATTGTAATGATTATAATTATTGCCATAGATTTTGTGCTGAGAAGGACATTAGTTGCCACTTGTGCACAGTTCATATTATTATTATTTATTGTTAAGAAGGATGTATTTTGCATTCCATATGCAGTTATTTTTTTTTTTTTTTTTTTACTGTACTTATTAATATTGTATCTTATCAAGTTTAATGTTTGTTTTATTTTGTCTGCACCCTTCCTTGTTTGGGTTCTAGATTTCCATTTTGGAGAAAACAAGAATAGACCCACTGTCTCCTTAACAAGCATGTCATAAGTGTCAACTTAATGGCATCTCCTCCTGGTGTGCAGATTCTAATGCTCATGTCAACCCTTCGAAGGCCTCATTAATGTGGTTCTCCTTGAACACGCATATAGTGTTGCACCAGTATCTACGTAGCACATACCGAGGTGCACGCCTGATGCCTCTTCAAAACCTGAGGCTGAAAGGCCCTAGAAGATGAAGAAGAGGGGCTAACCCAGCGATTAGAAAAACTGAGCTATCAATCAAACTAGTTAGGTATCGATATTATATTTTAGTCTAGTATATGTAATGATCATACTGCTCAGTTATGTTTATTTATTTTCATCTGTCGGTTTGGTTATTATGGTCAGATTTTAAAAATAGTTTTTTAACTATACCATGGATGGGTTGGATGTCATGGTCAGATTTCATTCTTCTAGATGTTGTAGAATGGAGTAGGTGTGTTAATTTTAGGCATTTGTTGAGATTTCTTTGGTCTGCTATAGGGCTATTTCTTTTTTCAATAATATTTCAAAGGTATCTAGAATTTAAAGGCGACACACAAGAGCAAGAGAATATCGCAGTCCAGAAGATCACGTCTGTTGAGGTCACTGGGCCAGAGCAGGACGGACAGGGTGAGTTCTGAATGTTTGAGTGATAACTGTTGTAAGAATAGGAATATGGAGTAGTAACTGTAATAAAGGTTGCAAGAATGATTATGTTCTCTTCAGTGTGATGGCTGTAATTTGAGATGTAGAAAGGGTTGATTGTAAACCCTCTGCGAGACTGTGCTTTAAACTCTAATTTCTACTGCATTGGAGATCCCCTCACCCGAGTCTCAGAAAGAGCTGGCGTCTTCTGGACTGAGCTTAATACGGAGACTTTTCTATCAACTGGACACAAAGACATACCAGCTCATAGCTATCTGTCTCCTCTCCGAGCTCAGGCGACGGGGTTGTGCCAAACTGGCGCTAAATCTCCACGTCTGCAGAGAGGCAAATTATGAAATGACCAGTTCATCCTTTAGCTCCAGAAGAGGAAGCTTCGACAGGCTGACAGACAGAGCAATTCTTTTCTGATCCAGCCACTTCTAATAAAGGCTTTTTTCTAAATGTATGGGTGCTATCTTTCTTTCCAGTCAACAAAAAGGGCAGAGAAAAGCATCATGTTGCAAAGGCAGTGCATGGTTCTCTCAAATACTGCTCTGGCTTTGTGCTTTGGACAGGGGGAACTTCATGTGTGGACAGGGGGAACTTCATCTGTGGACAGGGGGAACTTCATCTGTGGACAGGGAGAACTTCATCTGTGGACAGGGGGAACTTCATCTGGGGCCATGGGTTTCACTTTTATCCGGAAGGGGGTATTAAGTTCAACACAGTGTGTACAGCTCAACTAGGATGAAGCCTATGTTGGTCATGTTTCCTTCACAAATTTTATATTAATAAAGTAACAGAAAATGTATTGATCGGCACTCGTAGAAAGATAGAACACACTGGACAACATAAAAATCGAAAAGCTATAGATACTGTCCCGGGAATTGAACCTGTCACCTCCAGATGGCGTGTGTGCCTTACTGTGGAAATAAGTACACTAAGAACAGGGTTAACTAGGCACCCCTTCACAAATTTTAGATATGTCATTGTCAGCAGACTTCACCTTAGTGCCTAGATAATGATCAGCATGTTGATACATGAATGTATCCTCCTCTTCTTCATAGCGTTCACCGGCTGTAAACTTTGGTTGAAAGTTCTGGTTGTTCATCCACTTCTGGACTTTAATCATGTTCTAGAACTTGAATGTTGTGTGCACATCTGTTTTACAGATCCAGCTGACTTATGTGCAGACTGTTGTTTCCTCACCTTTTAGGCAGATGCTCTCCAAGGAAGCATTCCTAATTGGTCACCTTCAACTAAATGCTTGTTATCTGGGATGGGGTAGTGAGTCTGTTGCCCACCCCACCCACCCCCAGAATGAGACTCTAGTACCTATCTGAGAATGGATGTGCTGTTCTGACAATTACCTCTTCTGTTCCTTATTTGGCCAGCTTTATGTTGGCAACATTGTTTCTTCATTGATATCAAATATTGTTTATCGCTGTGACAGGTCATGGGGTCACCATCCATTACACCGATGCTGGCGGTGAAGCAGCCTGGCTAAAAATGGACGTGGATGACACCTCAGGGCAACGGCAACAGAGCATGAGTTGGCTGGCTGCGTTGATCAAGGTAAGTTGACCCGTTTTATCATCATCAAGAGCCCAGCTATCTGCCACTGTAACCCTCTCGGCCTGAGGGGAAAACATAAAACCACTCACCTGTAGTTGAAGGAAAAACATAAAACCACTTACGTATAGTTGAAGGAAAAACATAAAACCACTTATGTATAGTTGAAGGAAAAACATAAAACCACTTACGTATAGTTGAAGGAAAAACATAAAACCACTTACGTATAGTTGAAGGAAAAACATAAAACCACTTACGTATAGTTGAAGGAAAAACATAAAACCACTTACGTATAGTTGAAGGAAAAACATAAAACCACTTACGTATAGTTGAAGGAAAAATATAAAACCACTTACGAATAGTTGAAGGAAAAACATAAAACCACTGACGTATAGTTGAAGGAAAAACATAAAACCACTGACGTATAGTTGAAGGAAAAACATAAAACCACTTACGTATAGTTGAAGGAAAAACATAAAACCACTTACGTATAGTTGAAGGAAAACATAAAACCACTGACGTATAGTTGAAGGAAAAACATAAAACCACTTACGTATAGTTGAAGGAAAAACATAAAACCACTGACGTATAGTTGAAGGAAAAACATAAAACCACTGACGTATAGTTGAAGGAAAAACATAAAACCACTTACGTATAGTTGAAGGAAAACATAAAACCACTGACGTATAGTTGAAGGAAAACATAAAACCACTGACGTATAGTTGAAGGAAAACATAAAATCACTAACCTGTAGTCCAAGCATTCCCTGAAAATCTTTTGCAAAAAACTACCGTCCTACGTAGGTCACAAAAATTCTAGCAGTTTCCTTTATAGAGCAAAGTAATTTTAAATTTTGTGTACAGGATAAGAGGAGTAATCACTAAACGTGAATGTGTCAAAGACTTCACTGACACCAGTCTTTTTGAGCATTTAAAATATATATAGTGACTCATAATGAATCCACTGATCAGGTAATCACTAGTGGTGATATGAAGTTATGATGTTGATGAAACCACTGATCAGGTAACCACTAGTGGTGATATGAAGTTATGATGTTAATGAATCCGCTGATCAGGTAACCACTAGTGGTAATGTGAAGTTATGATGTTGATGAAACCACTGATCAGGTAACCACTAGTGGTGATATGAAGTTATGATGTTAATGAATCCGCTGATCAGGTAACCACTAGTGGTAATTTGAAGTTATGATGTTGATGAATCCGCTGATCAGGTAACCACTAGTGGTAATGTGAAGTTATGATGTTTATAATGTCTAATAAAAAGCCACATTATCACACTGCCGTTATATGACGACACAAGAGTGCTTGGGCATTTACAGCTCGCTTTTCAGACAGAAGAGTTCAAGACGCCAGCGGTGCCTTCTCCATGACCACCAGCAGCATGACGATGGAGGTGATGGCGGTGACACAGGCTTTCATGTGGCTGGGATCACAGGACTATTCCCGCGTGTGTGTGCTGGGTGATTCTTTGAGCATGATCCGGCGGGTCGAAGCAGGGTGGTTACGCTGACAGTGGTTTGAGTCATCACAAAACTCTCCTGTGTGTGCAGTTACCTTTATATTCGTCCCAGGGCATGCAGGCTAGTTACGCTGACAGTGGTTTGAGTCATCACAAAACTCTCCTGTGTGTGCAGTTACCTTCATATTCGTCCCAGGGCATGCAGGCTAGTTACGCTGACAGTGGTTTGAGTCATCACAAAACTCTCCTGTGTGTGCAGTTACCTTCATATTCGTCCCAGGGCATGCAGGCTAGTTACGCTGACAGTGGTTTGAGTCATCACAAAACTCTCCTGTGTGTGCAGTTACCTTCATATTCGTCCTAGGGCATGCAGGCTAGTTACGCTGACAGTGGTTTGAGTCATCACAAAACTCTCCTGTGTGTGCAGTTACCATCATATTCATCCCAGGGCATGCATGCGTTGTTGGTAATGAAAGAGCTGATAGACTGGCAGGTGCTGCAATAATTGAAGATGGCTGGCCCATTGATCACGCAGACATTGTCATTGCCCATAGAGAGAGAGGACGTTCTAAGAATTTTGGAAGAAGCGTGTCCACATCACTGCTAAGAATACGAGAATTGGGAGTAAAGATCGGCACAGCCAAACATGAGAAGCACACTGGACGCACACAAAGTCTTGTTAACCAACATAGGACTGGCACTAATAAGCTCGCGACGCTGACGAATATACTGAGTGGAGAATCTGAGCGCCTATGGATGTGTCCGGAGCGCTGTGAAGATAATCTATCTCATAAGTCACAAGGTCGTCCTATTTTAAGTAAATGTAATCCGGGCCTCCTGTAGTGGTGAAAATATGGGGATGACTGCAGTCAAGCTAATACCAGGGAAGTTCGGTGAAGTGTGACTAAAAAGCCTAATGTAATGGGGAAGCAGAAAATTTTGAAAATTTCACTGGACTTCCGGCCTTCCTAAATGTTTGTACAGGTGCAAACAGCACTAGTGCTGTTTGCTGTGCCTGTCATGAACCAGCCACTGTAACAAGTTTGTAAAGCAGCATTACATAACAAAATAACAGGATTCATGTTTCTCAGTCACTGCCGCTGAATCACTGTGTGTCAACTCTTGAACTGTTACTTTTCGGTGCTATCATACAAAACTGTCCAGAATCTTCTGTCGCTGTATTAATCTGCCATTTTTCATTATAATCGTTCCTATTTGTATTTCTCCTGAACTTTGTTGGAATCTGTTGACAGTGAGATATCTAAAATGTCAGAGCAAACATGACCAAGCCACACCTAATCCTACCCAGCCTGTTTAAGAAACATGACCAACATTCTCAGTGTAGGTCCCTATTATAGAGGGGAAAAAATAATAGAACCACTGCCTACCCAAAAGCATGTTGTAAAAGTCAACTTTTTAGGAGCTTCCATCGGAGTGCATCTGCCTGAGAGGCTAGGAACCAGCAGTCTGCATACAAATGAGTACCCACAACACTTATGTTCTGGGACAGGACTGCAGTCCAGAAGTGAACACCCAGAACTTTGCGCCAGAGTTTACAGCTGGTGAACGCGAAGAAGAAGAAGAAGAGATGACCAACATCTGAAGTAACACCGGCATGTATCTTATCACCGCCACTGTTACATCGACAGTATATGCCATAGTGCTAAGCCCAGGAATGAAAATGTCAGCAACATCAACAAATTACTCTTTGCTGATGTCCTGGCCTTAATAGTAGTTATAGCCGTGAAACTGCAACATCTCACATCTGTGAATGAAACCGTAAAAACATAATATGAGAGTCAACACTGAAAAGGCAGATGTAATGTTAAAAGGAAGAAATAAACAGAATGTAAATATCGCAGAGTACAAAGGCATCTGGGAACACCATTTACCGAAGATGGGAACTTGAAGAAATTTACATTCGGTGCAGTAAATCAAACCAAGTATTGGGACAGCTAGTCCCCCTCTTACAGCACAAGACAATCCCAGTCAGCACAAAAGAAACACCTCATACAAGGCACATTCACTCTGACTCTGTGCTACCAGTGCCAGACATGGACACTCACAACAAACTAAAAATAAAAGCTAGTAACCATGGAAATGAGATGTTGGAGAACATATACAGGAATTACCAGAAAGAACATAATCAGAAATTTGAACAATTCTAAATTGTGTACAGAGACGGCAAACCAAATAGTTTTCACAGTTAGAATGCCTTGTGACGCTATACCATATAGGGAATTTACCAAAAGAGGGGATGGATGTAGACACAAGGCAGACCAAGAACAAGATGGAAAGACAACATTACAGAAACTCTACAACAGCTTGATCTGTCCATGGTCAGAGTGGCCAGAAGAGTGAACAAGCATAAACTTTTATCTCCCTGACAATTTAAGCTGTTTAAGAGGAAGGGAAGAAACGTAAGAAGACCAGCCTTGTCCTAATTCCAGCCCATCTGAATGTGTTTGCCAAATCATAACCTGGTTACATCCTAAAATGTCTCTCCGTATGTGTGAAGTTTCAATACCCATTGTCCCCTTGTGCATTCCGGGGCCCCATGAGAGGGGGTGGAGGCATGGGGCCCTGTAACATGCATGTCGTAAAAGACAACTAATTAGGGGTGTTTCCTTTGAATTCGAAACGCGTCTGCCAGAGACCAGAGAAACCAACAGTCTGCATCCAGATAAACCAGATTTGTAAAGCAGAAGTTCAGGAACGGGGACCAAAGGCCATAAGTGGGTGAACCTAGTGCACTCCATAAGTGTCTGATTCTGCGATCCACAAGACCGTTGCGGTGTCAGTAACTGTGTCTGCATCCCCTGCCCTACATGTTTATGTGGATGTATTTAGTTATGCCAGAATAACTGAGGACTAAACTATAACAGCAGACAATGTGCCCGGGAATCTCTCCATCATAAATATAATCAAACTGTCTGTTTCAGTATTGATTTCATTTTGTATGTGCAGTCAGCTTTGTCCTTTTCCTGTTTTAGGCATTTAAACTAATGCCTGGCTCACAGCAGGCAAGTTCCAGTCCGTAAGCCTGATTGCAATCTGGCAAGTGAGCCTCCTCTTTCTGTTGCCAGTTTGGCAGCCTGGGACATGAAGATCGGTCATCAGGACAAGTAGAGCTCAGGAACTGTGGAATACTGCAGCATGGAAAAGAATAGTTTGCATTTCATTGTTGGTTGAGCCACATTTAAACAAAGAACAAGTGGAATTTGGGCATCTGTCATGTTTACTGTTTTTACACTTTTAAAATGTTGTTTTAGTTAATGTTAAGTACAAATTAGTATAGCATTTATACCGACAATGTATTTCTCACATTTAGCAATATCCTGTGATTCTTTGTGACACTTCATTCCAGAACATAAGATTCTCTTTTTCAAAAAGAATTATGTGTGGTGATGTGATCCAGCCCCTTGCCTTGCACTTTAAAGTTTGTGAGTTTCTTGTCAGACTGTTCTGTTTCCCCCCCCCCCCCCCCCCTTACCCCCCTGAAGATTTATTTAGAGACCTTGAGGGATTATCAGCGGAGGTATAGGTACCAGTTTTGTGTTGTGTTGTCACCAGGCGGTCAATCAGTGTTGAGGAAGACTGAGCCACATGAGATAATATCTAGTGCCTGATGTCGGTCATCTCATTTTAAACACCTTTTGAATTGTGTATCTTCCCTGAGGAATCTTCTCGTGGTTGCCTGTCATCTTCTAAATGATCCTACCTGCTGTGTATCTTCCCTGAGGAATCTTCTCATGGTTGCCTGTCATCTTCTCAATGATCCTACCTCCTGTGTCTCATGATAGTCGCATCCTCTTAATCCAGGTCTGCAGCATCCTTCTTAAACCAATTCATTCTCTCAGTGCTTTAGATTTACTCAAAATATGCAGTCTGTGTTTTTTACTCTGTCAACAATCATAACTTGCAACCAAACTATTTGACTGTGATTAAGAATTTAATTATGTACACCTTTTAATGATGTTAATGTTCTTTTTTTATTTATTTTTTCAGAATTGTCTTGGACATGTCTCCACTAAATGTTGTCAGTATTAAATTAATCTGTTGGTTCATTTTTTTTTTCCATAAAGAAAAATGTGAAAGAAATGTACCATTCAGAAAGCAGCGGCAAACTACCAAAAGTAAAAATGGCCATAGAACCACACAATAGCCAAGAAATGCTGGAGTTGGTTTTAGCAATCCTGCAAAGAATATGCCCCAAATTTATTTATTGTAACCCCCAAATCCAGGTCAATAGGGTCAGCTAAGAGAGATTTGATTAGATGGTGAATGTGAACAGCTTGCCAGAGCACCTACCACATAATGTTTTTTTGTCAATATTTTTATTTTGCTTAGAAAAGATAAACATTCTTTATCTGATCGGGAATAAAGATCACCTAACTGTGCCATAAACCGTCTGCCATTGTGTCTGTGTGTCTCTCTGTGTTCAAACAGGACATGTTGCTCTGCTGTACTGTAACTGTGCCATAAACAGTCTACCATTGTCGAGTGTGTCTGTGTGTTCAAACAGAACATGTTGCTCTGCTGTACTGTAACTGTGCCATAAATAGTCTGCCATTGTCCAGTGTGTCTGTGTGTTCAAACAGGACATGTTGCTCTGCTGTACTGTAACTGTGTCATAAACGGTCTACCATTGTCCAGTGTGTCTGTGTGTTCAAACAGAACATGTTGCTCTGCTGTACTGTAACTGTGCCATAAATAGTCTGCCATTGTCCAGTGTGTCTGTGTGTTCAAACAGGACATGTTGCTCTGCTGTACTGTAACTGTGTCATAAACGGTCTACCATTGTCCAGTGTGTCTGTGTGTTCAAACAGGACATGTTGCTCTGCTCTACTGTAACTTTGAAGCAGCTATCTGTTCCTATATAGTATTATATTACAATGTATTGTTGGTTCAGATAACTTGTTCTTCGCGTTCAGCGGTGGAAAGTTCCATTTGTTTGTCCACTTAAGAACCTTGTTTCTGATTTGTTGGATTGTTCAACCAACTCAAACACAGCCATGTGTAACCTTGTTTCTGATTTGTTGGATTGTTCAACCAACTCAAACACAGCCATATGTAACCTTGTTTCTGATTTGTTGGATTGTTCACCCAACTCAAACACAGCCATATGTAACCTTGTTTCTGATTTGTTGGATTGTTCACCCAACTCAAACACAGCCATATGTAACCTTGTTTCTGATTTGTTGGATTGTTCACCCAACTCAAACACAGCCATATGTAACCTTGTTTCTGATTTGTTGGATTGTTCACCCAACTCAAACACAGCCATATGTAACCTTGTTTCTGATTTGTTGGATTGTTCACCCAGTTTCCCATGTGACGAGGTAGAAAGTCTCATGTTAATTCTCATTGGCCACCTGTTAACAACATACATGGAAGGTTATAGTTTTGTTATCTGTTATTTGTTCAGAAATATATTATACTCCCTGTGCCATCCGTTTGCTAGTACCAGTATTATACTATACTGTGATGTTTTACTGTTTGATGTTGATTTTTTTTTTTTTTTTTAATTAATTAATATCGTCTTCAACTTTTTTGGGTTACTTCCTCTTCAAGTGACGAAAATCTGTTGTGCCTGTTTACAGCATGGCTGCAATATTGGTGGGTCTCAGCTGACACATCCGCCTTCTCTGGGCATTTGTGGGTTAACTGTTACTAGATAGTTTCATGGGACACTGGGACATTTTACAGCCTCGTTTGTATGGTGTGGCTTCATCATCCATTGGTTCGCAGATGCTGTTACCTAGAAATAGGAATATTCAGTGATATCCTGTTTGTATTATTGTCTTATATATTCTTGCTGTTTCTCCTGAAATTCACATCGACATCAAGTGCCTTGCCAGTTATTTGGGTCATCTGGCTTATTCACTACACCTGCAACTGAATGTATCACCTCCACTTATATTTTCCATGTTGTAATAAAAGTGTCAAGAATCTTCTCTCACTGCCTTTCTCTGCCTCTTCTTTCATGAAACTTCTCTGTTGTTACAAAATGCTCAGTTGTTTTCCTGTCATAATGTGATCATGCATGTTCAATGTCTTCTTGTATTGATTGTCTTTTTTTTATCTATTTTACAGTATTGACACATTTTGACTGTAAAGGACATTCTTATGTTAGAACATATATTCTTTGGCTTCAGAATGTGTGCGTGGTTTTTGTTGTTTATTTTTTTTATTTTATTTTTAAATTAAATAAAGTCTGCTTAAATTTTCTGTGTCTACTTTCCTTTACATATATGATTTTTCGGCTATCTTCTGAATAACTCTCCCAAATTATTCAGGCCGAAAATATACCCTAACAGGGCCTCAGTCACTTGTCAATTGCAGAATTCCGCCACTGACGAGAGTTATCTCCCACGCTGCACAAAGCAGCGTGGATTGGGGCTAAACTAAATGGCTGGGACTCACGAAAAAAAAATGAAGGAAGCTGCAGGAGATGCGGTAGCAGCTGCTTGTGAGTCCCAGCCATTTAGTTAAGCCTCAATCCACGCCGCGCGTAGTGGTGTGGGGGATACTCTCGGCGGTGGCCATAGCCGCTGGAAGTGTGCAATTTAAGTCGCTGGAAGTCCGCAATTGACACGTGACCGAGGCCCCTTTAGGGTATATTTTGGGCCTTGATAATTTGGGTCCGTTACTCGAAAAATGGACTAATTTTCTTCAGTTTTTTCCTCACGAAATATTTCTTGATTTGTTTCCTCTTCAAGAACTGCAACAGAAACATTAATTTAACAAAGACAGTCACTCCACATTCTTCTTCTTTTACCCTTAAAATGATGTTGGCTCATTGTGTTGTGGTTTACAGCTAGGCTGCAATATCTGTGCCTTTTGGCCTAATACTTCATTTTTTAACTAAAGCCTAATTGGTCAGCTTCTATGGGGTAATAGGTCGGCTCTTACATGGTTTGGCATCATGTAATGGAGAAACACCTGTATGAGAAATGTTGAACTGTGAATGAGGCAGAAGATTGTGTGAGAGAGAGAGCACTTGTTTAGTTTACTCTAGGGCTACGATGTCTAGTGATTTGCCAAGACGGTTTTGTTTGTACACCAATGAAGTTAATTGTCTTTGTTTATGACTGCAAACCTTTTAGAGAACTATACCTCTGGTTTGTGTATGTTCTTTCTCTTCTTCACGTTCACCTGCTGTAAACTAAAGAAAAAAGTTATAGATGTTTGTCCATTTCCGGACTTAGGTCATGTTCCAGTACCTGAGTGGTGCATGCACATCTATTTGACAAACTGTTGGCTCCTCGCCTCTCAGACAGATGCAGTCAACTTTGAAGGAAGCTCCCAGTTAGTCGACTCTTATGACATGCTTGTTGGGCCTGTGGTTTTTTTTTTTTTTTAACCACAGTGAGGTCCCAGAACCCATACAAGGAGGTTTGGCTAAAACTGAGGCCTTGTGCAGAACTGCAAACCTGGTTTATATGTGACTGAGGCCTTGTGCAGAACTACATACCTGGTTTGTGTATGACTGATCCCTAGTGAAGAACTATAAAATCTGTTTCTGTATGACTGAAGCCTTTTGTAGAACTGCAGACCTGGTTTTTATATGACTGAGGCCTTGTGCAGAACTACAAAACCTGGTTTCTGTATGATTGAAGCCTTGTGCAGAACTACAAAACCTGGTTTATTTATGACTGAGGCCTTGTGCAGAACTACAAAACCTGGTTTATTTATGATGGAGACAAGGAACTACACGCCTGGTTTGTTGCATTCTGGCTACAAGACCTGCTCACCTCGTGCTGTAATTGTCTATATTATATGCACTGCATTTTTATGACATAATACACACGCTGCATGGTTTTACTTTGTTTTCTTGTCTTTGACATATTGCTGTCTCTACTTCAGCAGGTTCTGTATGCTGATTTTTGTGTGAATATTGTGTGTGTATGAGCTGGGGAAGTGAAGCAGTTTGCATGCTTGCCTTCAAGCCTGTTGGCTCAATTCTCGATTCCCCCTCTTGGTGAGAATTTTTAATATGATCTTGGCTTCCAGTTGACCCATTCTAAAATTGAAACGAAAAACGTTTTGGGAAGTAAAGTTGGTTGGCATGGCATTAATATCTCCATGGAGTACCCGTTGGTTTGTACAAATATGAATGCCGTCAATCCAAGGAATTTTAAATATGATGTGCATACATTATTATTTTTTTCCAGAATTTTGTTTAGTCTTGTTATGAGATTAAAGAAACGAGAACATGTTGTGGCCACTGGAAAGAATATTGCGAAAAGAGATAGAGGAAGACAATGCAAGATGATTCTTGACAACATTTGGTCCTGACTTGGAGGAGTAACAGCACACCACCCCAAACACTCTGTTGAAGATTGCAGCTTGTGGAGAGGCATGACCCTGAGTATTGGGTGGACACAAGACATGAACGATACCCTGAGTATTGGGTGGACACAAGACATGTAAGATACCCTGGGTATTGGGTGGACACAAGACATGAAAGATACCCTGGGTATTGGGTGGACACAAGACATGAAAGATACCCTGGGTATTGGGTGGACACAAGACATGAAAGATACCCTGGGTATTGAGTGGACACAAGACATGAAAGATACCCTGGGTATTGAGTGGACACAAGACATGAAAGATACCCTGAGTATTTAGTGGACACAAGACATGAAAGATACCCTGGGTATTTAGTGGACACAAGACATGAAAGATACCCTGGGTATTGAGTGGACGCAAGACATGAAACATACCCTGGGTGTTTAGTGGACACAAGACATGAAACATACCCTGGGTATTGAGTGGACACAAGACATGAAAGATACCCTGGGTATTGAGTGGACACAAGACATGAAACACACCCAGAGTATTGAGTGGACACAAGACATGAAAGATACCCTGGGTATTGAGTGGACACAAGACATGAAAGATACCCTGAGTATTGAGTGGACACAAGACATGAAAGATACCCAGGGTATTGAGTGGACACAAGACATGAAACACACCCTGGGTATTGGGTGGACACTAGACATGAAAGATACCCTGGGTATTGAGTGGACACAAGACATGAAAGATACCCTGGGTATTGGGTGGACACAAGACATGAAACACACCCTGGGTATTGAGTGGACACAAGACATGAAACATACCCTGGGTATTGGGTGGACACAAGACATGAAAGATACCCTGAGTATTGAGTGGACCCAAGACATGAAAGATACCCTGGGTATTGGGTGGACACAAGACATGAAAGATACCCTGGGTATTGAGTGGACACAAGACATGAAAGATACCCTGGGTATTGGGTGGACACAAGACATGAAAGATACCCTGGGTATTGGGTGGACACAAGACATGAAAGATACCCTGGGTATTGAGTGGACACAAGACATGAAAGATACCCTGGGTATTGGGTGGACACAAGACATGAAAGATACCCTGGGTATTGGGTGGACACAAGACATGAAAGATACCATGGGTATTGAGTGGACACAAGACATGAAAGATACCCTGGGTATTGAGTGGACACAAGACATGAAAGATACCCTGGGTATTGAGTGGACACAAGACATGAAAGATACCCTGGGTATTTAGTGGACACAAGACATGAAAATACCCTGGGTATTGGGTGGGCACAAGACATGAAAGATACCCTGGGTATTGGGTGGACACAAAACATGAAACATACCCTGGGTATTGAGTGGACACAAGACATGAAAGATACCCTGGGTATTGAGTGGACACAAAACATGAAACATACCCTGGGTATTGAGTGGACACAAGACATGAAACACACCCTGGGTATTGAGTGGACACAAGACATGAAACATACCCTGGCCTTGTCAGACCAGGAGGCATTAGAAAGCTGTGATGTTAAGGAAAAAAACTTGTTATTACATGATAATGTTCAAAATATTTTGGCATAGTGTTGATACCCATAATTAATATATTACTTTATATTATTGGTTCAGATAACTAATATATTACTTCATATTGTTTACTATATATATATAATTAATAAATGACTGTTTATTGTTTGGGGAACCATGGTAGCACAGAAACGTGCACTTTTGCCTGTCAGTCTGATGGTGATAGTTTACAAATGATTTGAACTCCTAGCTCATCTCGGTCTAAAAACAGAATGTTCTGGAAGCAAATCTGACCTACATGATTATTAACATCACCCATTAAGTGCCAGTTTTCCAGATCTGCCTCATTTGTATGCAGACTGCTGGTTCCTTGCCTCTCAGGCAGATGCACTCTGACTTTGAAGGAAGCTCCCAATTAGTCAACTCTTACGACATGCTTTTGGGGAGGCATTGGGTCTTTTCATGTTTTCCGTATAACAGGGCCCCAGAAGCCACACGGGGACATCTTTGTATTGAATGAGCTGGCTCATGGTACTGTTGACTTTTA